TTTCACCCCAAGCAAGACAGGAGTGCCACTAGCATGCAAGGGGTTACAGAGAGTAAGAGTAAAGAGGGGTGGGGTTAGGAAAGGATAAAAATGAAGGCCAGTGATCAAGGTCAAGGCATTAGATATCGATTGACATTACATTTGAATATTTGAAAATTATAGCTATCAGAAAAACAAGTAAGAGGAAGGGAACTGTCGGAAAGGGCGAGAGAAAAGCTGTTGGAGTGGAAGAGGCGGTTACATTTAACTGTTTTGACTGTGAAATGGTGGGACCAATATGCCAACTTAATAGCAGGCTTAAATTCGTGCAGCTGCGGTACAAGTGAAGGCATATATATTTAAAAAACGACAGAAAAAAATCCTTCTTTCTTAAGAGATCACCTTTGACCAACACATCGTCAGAAGAAATTGGTTAGTAAATATTAATTGGCATTAATTGCGATTATTAGAATCGGTTTACATTAAGTTACAACAAGCGGCTCTGTGCAGATAGAAAAAGAAAAAGGGAATTGTGCCGTTTTCTTGGTCAATTTATATTTACCAACGTATAATTCTTCTTCACCTGATATGTTAATCAAAAGGGATCTCTAAAGAAAGAATACCTTCCTGCATTTTCAAATATGTGTATATCTTTTGTGTCGTCAAATTTCTGTAAATATATACATATATACTCGACTCTCCCGTCGAATTCGACGTATGAGGCTCAAACTGACAGCCCGACAACAGCACATGAGATTTGATTATAGTAGTGAAGGTTTCGTGCAGAACCATCCATACTTTTTGAAGGGCCGAATACAGAGACCTGGTGCACTTCGTGCCACAAGGTCCCCAAACGACCCTCCGCAGGTTTTGAATTCAGAGTTGTCCATCTTCTACACCAGTTGCTATCCAAGGCTATAGAACCCAGTCTGTCCTGCTATTTACCCATAGCTGGAGGGAGAAGAAGAGGATTCACACCTTTCTCAAGGGTATTAGCACGTAAGTGAATGTAATTGATTCGACTGGAATTCTAACCAGGCTCTCTGATTCCTCAATCCGCATTTCATTAATCCAATCCACCGTGCGTGCCTCTCTCTCTCTCTCTCTCTCTCTCTCTCTCTCTCTCTCTATATATATATATATATATATATATATATATATATATATATATATATATATATATATATATATTGCAGTTAACTAATATATAACTTCATAAATTGAAAAATATATTAATTTCATACAAAAATGCCTCCTTGTTTTAATTCCTTGCCAATGCAATTAACTCGCAGGTAAATATTAATCAAATAGACCAAGATCTATCCAACGAACATTTTTTCTCAAAAATAAAGTTTATAAATATGTAGTAAGTTACGCACTTATCGACCCACTCCTGTACACACGCAAATACGTATCTATCTATCTATCTATCTATCTATCTATCTATCTATCTATCTATCTCTCTCTCTCTCTCTCTCTATATATATATATATATATATATATATATATATATATATATATATATATATATATATCGATCTCTCTCTCTCTAGATATATATATATACACACACATATATATATATATCTCTCTCTCTCTCTCTCTCTCTCTATATATATATATATATATATATATATATATATATATATATATATATATATATCGTATTGATATTTATATGAAAGTTACTATGGATTTAATGAAAACATAACCACAAGAGAGAAAATGTAACATAAAGTTGAAAATTGCGGAACATATTAAATGAAATTAAAAGAAGAGTCCAAGAGGAAATTGAAAATCATGACAAGAACTACAAAAAAAACCCCAAAAACTTCTGGCTTGAAGAATATCACAAGAAATATGAGGGAAATTAAATAGGTAAGAAGCATGAAAAATTGAATGACCATTTAAGAATCCGGTGTTGAAAATTAAAATGGTGGAAAATGATGTCGAATATTGAAAACATTATCCCATGCCATGAAACAAAATTATCTACCAATTTTAAGTACCTAAAAGTGTGACGTATAATTTGATCGAAGTATTATATGAAAACTGATTTTTTAACAAATAAAACCTTTAACGATGAATGTAGAACGACATTGGAATGACATACAATTGCCCAGACCCCACTTTACACCCTAGACAAAGTTCAAAAGCGTATCCGCAGCCGTGTAGATGATGAATAATTTTCCATACTACAACAAAATCCGACAGACCAAATCTTGCTAGCTTTTCACTAAACTATCGCTGTTTTCAAGGCAGAGGTTCAGACCTGCTCCATTTTTTAATTCAACCTGTTTAACTAGGATCCGCCATGCTACGTACACAAATCGTACTCATCCTCGTTCCTATTTTTTTGTTAAGAACGAAGTTTCGCACAGGCAAATTCTCTCTCCTCAACTCTTGCGTTGTAGAACAGACTCACGCGGGAATGCTTTCCCAATCACTACAATAATAACCTCTTCATGTCTCGCCTCAACTATTATCCATCTTACATATCGACATAATATGGTCCTCTTAA